GACGAGGTAGTTTATTTAATCAGTGCTGAACTAGAGGCTGAAATTATAACTAAGTGCGTTGTCATATAATTTGTTTATTTCAATTTCTTCTGAAGTCAAATAGAATGCACTGGTGAAACCGTGAGTGAAAGCATGTTTTGGGGTATAGTTTACATTGTGTGGAGTGGTAGGGTCGGGTCTCACATAATTTGTTCATTTCCAACTCTTATGAAGTCACATAGAATTTCACTTAATTTATTTTCGCTGAAACGTTTTCAAGCATTACATGTGAATCCGATTTTCCCTGTGCTGTGTCTCAATAGAGTATGAGGTAAATGGCATTTTCACTGGAATTTATTTCAGGGGAAAAACGTTTTCAGTAAAAATGAAGTATACTACATTATTACATATGTACTGCAGTTTATTTTGATTCGTCTATGAAATATGCAAACAAAGTAGTCCTTTCAAGAGTAGCGTTTTCGAAACATAGCAAAAATAAACAATATTTAGAAGTACTATATTTTACCCTTGAGTACATGAATATACTTGCCGAGTGAAATGAAATTTGAACAACAGTAATGGAACTTCTAGGCTGTCACTTATTTTGACTAAAACAAATTCGTATATCACCAATGCAATAATGTTTTCGGTATTTTTAGGGTCAATATGCTAATGAACTCGGTATTGGCGATCCGCTCCACTAGGATTGCCCCTCAAATCATTTGTGTGTGTGATGTGATTTCCAGTGTTTTCATGTATTAGTTCTTCTGTGATTTTTTTGGCTTGGCCGATTTCGCTCAAACATGGCAGGTAGGTCACACCTTCACCCGAGTTATTAGGAAAAATCTGCAAATAATGTTGGTCCATCGTTGCCATAGCAACTGTAAAAAAAGGTTTTTGGATAGCTTCGAGCTAAACGTATCTCCTACAAATTCAGAATACAACACCTCAGACATAGCTCATTTACTCGGCTTGAGTGTGGGTACAATGATACTATTTGAATTTTTGATATCTTTTTTCATCAATGAGAAGGTTGACCCCAAATTTAGAGTAACTGTTCACCAGTTATGGCTTTTTAACTAACTCTTCTGTGATTTTTTTTGGCTTGGCTGATTTTGTTCATACTTGACAGATAGGTCGTACCATCACTAATTGGAAAAACAATCCTGACCCACCACTACCATGGCAACAGCCAAAATCTGTTTTTTTTAATACTTTCGTCCCAAATTTATGACCCCCTACCAGTCTTGTAACAGCAGTGGCCAAATGATCATGCCTTTTATTCTGGCTACGTTGCGCACTGGTAAGAGATCACCGGCACCGACATTGTTACACTGTATCAATAGGGATTTCAGGGGGAAATTATACACATATCATAGAGTGGTGTCATTAGACAGATCTCTACTAGAGTAATGCAATGCATCTTATTTGATGAAAATCAGGGTAACCGTTCTCGAGATAAGGTACTTTGTAGCTTCAATTAGCATCTCTTAATTTTGGACAAAAGAAAACACAACAAAGCACTACTGAATAGTAAAGACAACGGCACCATTTTGGATGAATAAGCACTAATTATCTAATTGGAGCTGAACTTAAACTGCCATATCTTTCCCCTTTTTTATTGAATTTTCACCAAATTTTCAACAAATGAACTTTATATCAATTTTTATTTAATGTCATTAGAAGGCAACTTATAGACCATCTGTTACCATAGAAACAAGCCATATTCAAATTTCTTTTTAAATCATTTGTCAGTGTCAATAAAGATAAACAAGTTTTACTTTCGTTTATGTTGCCTTCGTTTTTATTCCTATACAAATGCATTGAAAACGCCCTCATCGAC